TCCGCGGCCCGCGGCGCCTGCGGGGACAGGAGAGGGCGGTGAGGTGGGAAGCGCACGGCGGGCAGGACGGCGCCGGCCCCAGCGAGGCCGCGGGGCGCTCGTGTGGAGCTTTGGCCGCTCGTGTGGAGCTTTGGCCGCTCGCCCCCGGGCCCGGCGTTGAGGGCTGAGGCGGGAAGGCAGCTCTGGAGGCCGCCCCCTCCTGGACCCCTCCAGGGCAGGAGCCTCCGCAGCCTCTGCAGAGTCTGGCCCGGGGCTCCGCCAGCCTCAGAGCCACAAAGTTTCCCTCAGATCCCAACAGAAGTCCCTGCCATTCCATTGGTGCTCACAGCTCCTCGTGCCGGCACTGGACACCGCTGGAAAGGGCCTGGCCTGGCCTCCTCCTCACAGCCTCCTGCAGATACTCTCAGGCATGGCTAAGACCTCCTGAGTCTCCCCTTCTCCAAGGTGAACAGCCCCAGCTCCCTCAGCCCTTCCTTGTAGGACAGATCCCGCAGCCACCTGCTGATCCCGGCATCCCTTCCCTGGACCCGCCGGCAGCTCCATGCGTCCCACAAGGGGCTGCCAAAGGCCGGAGCGGGCAGGGGGCAGAGAGAGACCTCATGGCTGCCCAGCCTGGGCAGCCCCGCACAGAACAGCCCCAGCAGTGGGTGCCGCAGCAGCGCAGAGCGGCACCCAGCTCACACAGCACCGCGTGGCACAGAGCCCGGCCTCCCACGCACCACGGGACACGGTGGCAGTGGCAGCAGCGACAGCAGCGGCAGCAGCAGTGCCCCCGAAGGAGCTGCCGGGAGGGCACTGCGCATGGGGCCAGGGCGGGAGCAGCCGCAGAACCAGGGTTGGGGCTGCCCCGCGTGGCCCGCGCACAGGAGTTCACCTGGCCGGAGCGGCCCCGCCACACGCTGCCCCGCTCGCCCTGTCCCTGCCATGCACTGCCCTGCTGTGTCCCCCACCACGCGCTGCCCTGCTCACCGTGTCCCCTGTCACACACTGCCCCACTCACCGTGTCCCCTGTCACACACTGCCCCACTCGCCGTGTCCCCTGTCACACACTGCCCCGCTCGCCGTGTCCCCGCCACACGCTGCCCCGTGCCAGGAGCCGCGGGAGCCTCCCCAGTGCAACGCGTCCCCAAGCAGCCTCCGGCAGCCAGCGGAGAGGCGCTGTGTGAGAGCACGTAAACGGTGCCAGTCTGAGGCCTGCGCCACGGCGAGGCCTGCGCGCGGGAGCCCCTGCCCGGCGGCGCAGGGCACTCCGTGCTCTCCGGCTGCCAGGCGGGAGCACAGAGGAGCGGCGCACGAGAGGCTGTGCCGGGGCGGGCAGGGCAGTGGGGCAGCCCCGCGGTCCCCTCGCTGGGGACGGAGCCGCAGCCCGCGGAGCACCAGGCGCAGCCCCGGCGCTCACAGCGGTGCGCCGGCCCCAGGCCTGCAGGCTCTGTGACCGCACCGGCCCAGCCTGGCCCAGCCCGGCCGTCTTCCTCCCCAGGTGTCGCGGGCTACTCCAATTGGGGATCACAGGGAGAGCCCAGTGACGAGCCCTGAAGCAGTTTGGAAGGGACCTCTAGGGATCATCCAGCCCAACCCCCTGCTCCAGCAGGGACACCCAGAGCACGGGGCACCCTGTCGCACCCAGGGAGGTTTGGGAGGTCTCCAATGAAGGAGCCTTCGCAGCCTCCCTGGGCAGCTTGGGCCAGGGCTCAGGCACCCTCACAGTGCACAAGTTCTTCCTCGAATGCACACGGAGCTGCCTGAGCTTCAACTTCCACCCATCGCCCCTTGTCCTGTAACTGGGCAGCACCGAGAAGAGTTTGGCCCCTTCCTCCCTACACTCTCCCCTCAGGTATTTGCACGCACTGATCAAGTTCCCTCTCAGCCGTCTCTCCCCCAGGCTTAACAGGCCCCGCTCGCTCAGTCTCTCTTCACACGAGAGATGCTCCGGTCCCTTCATCCTCGTTGCTCTGCACTGGCCGCTCTCCAGCAGCTGCAGGTGCCTCCCGCCCTGGACACGTCCCCATCCCCAGGGAGCGTCCGCAGGGAGCGTCCCCTTCCCGGAGCTCCCGCGCGGGGCGCCCTCCTGCAGCCCACGGGAGCAGGCGGCCGCCGGCCGGGCTGCGCTTCGCAACGCGGGGAGCCCGCGCCGTGCTCAGCCTAACGCCCCACAACTCACGCACCAGCCCAGCAAAGCCAGGGGCCCCGACAGCCCTTCCGAAACTGCTACCGCGTCACCCCTGCAGCGCCGGCGGCGCCAGCACTGTGAGCGCAGGTGCCCTCTGCTTCGCTGCCGAGCGCCCGGCGCGGCTGCCGTTCCCGCCCGGTGCCAACGCTCCTGCCCGGCGCCGGGCCGCGCGGGTCTGCGGCCGCCCTCTGCCCCTGCTCCGCGTGACGCCTCGCGGCTTAGCTCCCCTCTAGCTCCTCTTGCGGCTTTCGCGCTGATAGGGTTGAAAAGGAATTTATTTTTTGACCTTGTGCTGCTAGCAAGTGTTTCCTAAAACCGCCTGAGTCCTTTCCAGCTGCCTTGGAATTCCGAGCGCGCTCTTGCTGCTGTTCTAACGCGTACTGTTAAAGCTAACCAGGGGAACCCATGTGCCTGGGCGCGCGGCCTCGCTGCCACGCGTTTGCGTTTGCAATACGCATTTCCGGAACCACTGCCCATTTCTCTATTCCCAGAGGAATCTCTCTCAGCTGTATTTCATACAGGAAAGCAGGCTCCTCATGCACAGCTTGAGCCGAGCCTCGTCCCACGCGTCCAACTTCTGTCAAAGGGAAGGTCGTGGAGGGAACATGTTGCAAATGTCCCTGCTGAGCCTAGCAGAGAGGCCCTCCAAGGCACAACGCCGCGGAGCGCTGAGTGGGGCCACGGCGGCCCGCAGCGGGGCGCCTCCTCGAGCCACTGAAACAGCGGCATTTCGCCTGCAGCTACAACCTGCCCTAAGCGTCCCGTGTCGCTCGGCTGCCTGGCCCTGCCACTGCAGCCACTGGATGCAATGCTGAATGCAGCCGCAGCCGCTGGATGCAGCAGCGAATGCAGCCTGCCACACACAGCAAGGGCACCGGCCTCTGCGCAGGGCGCCCCGACGCCTCTGAACACGGTGCCGCAGCAGCTGAAACACCCAGAGCCCCGTGGAGAGGCCGGGGTGCCGGGGACAGGCGCAGTGCGGGGACAGCCGGCCCCGAGGCGGCCGCGGGGCTGCGGGAGGCGGGTGCAGCGCGGGCCCTACCTGGGCATCGCCATCGCCCTGCGCCCTGGCACAGCTCTGGCCCCTGGTCCAGCTCGCACCCGGTGTCCTGCGGTGCTGCCGCCCCAGCACCCGCCCAGCCTTTCCCTGCTGTGGCGCTTCCTCGAGCAGCAGTCGCAGGGCAGCCAGCTCACGTCCCCACGCCGCCGGGGCTATCGCGGCCGAGTTTACACCCACGTGGTTTCACAACGGCACGCGCACAACAGTGAGCGCACGGCTCCATGAGCCACGCGGAGTGGGGGCTCCTACGCGGCCCTCGCCACACGAAAGGCGCCGGCGCTGCCGCCCGCTCCGCCCGAGCCCAGGCCTCCGCTGGCTCCGTTCGCTGCCTTGCTGCCCAGCGCAGCGGCTGCCTCCCCGCCTGTGGACACGACTAACGTGGCCGTGGCCGGCACCGTGCACCCCCGCCGTGCCCGCCCACCTCCACCGGGCACCCCGCGCCAGGACGCAGCTGTCCCACAGCGAGGGAAGCGCCTCGGGCCCGGCTGTGCCGCGGCGCCCAGCCACAGGTACAGAGTGCAGCCAGCCGCCCAGGGCCCTGCCCAGCGCCCGCCACCAGGAACTGGCCCCAGCGCCCGCCTAGGGCCCTGTCCAGCGCCCATAGCAGGACCCGGTCCCACCGTGAGGAAGCAGAGGCAGACCACACAGACCAGGCAGACCAGGCAGACGAAGCTGGCCCGGACCAAACCCTCCCTGCCCCGCTGAGGTCCAGCGGTGGGCAAGGCGGCACGCGGGCCCGCGGGCCGGGCCTCGCCAGCCACGCACAGCGCCGCACGCAGCCCGCGGCAGCTGCGGCCGCTTGGACCGCGCGGGCAGCGCCCCGAGGCTCTGCAGCGCAGGCACCACGACGGGGCGCCACAAACCTGCCCTGCATTTTCAGCATCCCCCAGGCTGGGATGAATGCTAGTTCTGCAAGACGCAACACACGCAAGAACAAATCAGGGGAAGAGAGCGGCGACCCTGACGTCCCGGCCTTGTGCACCGCCCCGCGGAGTCACACAAGGCTTGAGCGTGGGCGGCACCGCTGGGGAGCACCTGGTGCGGCCAGAGCAGAGCGCCCAGCAAAGGAAGCAGCCGCCAGCTGGGCCGTGCCAGCAGCGGGACAGGGACCAGGCCGGGTGCCACGCGTACCGCGACGCGCACGGAGCCCAGCGCCAGCGCCGGACGCAGCAGCAGAGGGGCGAGTGAGGCCCCACGGGCACCCGCTCCGCAGGGGCAGAGTGGCCCGGGCCTTGCCCGTTGCTCTGGGGCACCTCGCGGATGGGCCCCGGCTGCAGCCCCCCTGCCCCACAGCCTCCCCTGCCCCACGGCCCTGCTCGCGCCGGCCCCACGGCAGGACGGGTGCCCACTCCCCAGCCCTGGGTGCCAGATCTGCTCCCGGAGCAGCCCACGAGGATCGAGGCCGCCAGCCACGGCAGACGCCGGTGCTCCCTTCCATTCTGCAGCTTCTCTGGACCAAGAAGGCGCCTGGATCAGCTCGCTCCCTGCTGTCAGCCTCGCTCCCCATTGCCATCGCCATGCCCATCACCATCACAACCCCATCACCATGCCCATTGCCATCGCCACCCCCATGG